TTTATTTTATCGAAGGTGGGTTGTTTCCTAGCCATTTAAAATTCCAATTACTGTAGTTTTTATTCTTAGTTTTGAATAATAATGGTGTTGCTTTTGTTAAAAAGCGGACTTGATGGAAGCGTAGATGCGATTCCTAAAAACGTTAAATCGCTTAAAACGTCAAAAGTCATACAAAAATAAAAAATCTTAAATTTTGTGGTTTAAAAGTTGCATAAATTTTGAACTAATAATAATATAACGATAAGTTCGTTATTTTTTAACTGTTAATTTTTTGCTCTAACTTATTGTTATTTGATTTGTTTTCATTTTACATTTTTTTTTTAAAGTTGAAGCGCCTATTTTAATATTCCTTTTTTGTTTGTTTTTCTTTTAAAGAATAGACTTTTAAAGAAAAATTTTAATAATAATAATAATAATAATAATAATAATAATAATAGTAATATAAATATATATATATATATATATTATATATATATATATATATATATATATATATATATATATATATATTATTAGACAGACACTCTCCCCTATGTATATATATATATATATATATATATATATATATATATATATATATATATATATATATATATATATATATATATATATATATATATATATATATATATATATATATATATATATATATATATATATATATATGGGGAGAGTGTCTTAATTGGAACAATTTAGGAAAAAATATTTATTAACCAAGGATGGCTTAACTATGAAAACATTTATGATTTGATTAATACAAACAGACATTCCTATTATACTTGTAACCACAATTTGACTGTTATCGGAAATAAACTTGTTTTTGCAAAGATACCATTTTGTTCCAATCAAGGCAACTGGTTTCCTAAATGGGAACACTTTGATTCCTTAATCAGAACAGATTATTTAAAAAAAACAAACCCAGTAAAATTAACAAAAATTGGTTAAAAATGATTTTTATTTTTACCGTGAAAATTTAAACAGTTAATTCAAAACATATTATAGGATTAGTATTATTCTGACAAACTTAAAGTCTTAAAACAAAAAATTGTATCAGAACTTTAACTGTTATGACGTTCTCTTAATTTATTGATTAGAAATCACTAAATAAAGTATTATTTTTACGGTTTATGGTTATTTCTAGGTATTTTTTAATTGCATTCGAACTATTTTTACAACCCTTTGATTTTATTACTGATTAGGTAAGGAAAACGTTAATGTTCCAATCGAGGAAACTTTGGACTATTTTGTTATATCGCTGCAATAACATACTTGAAGCAACTTATAAAATGAGTTTATATTGTTATTTTGCATTTTATATCCGCAAGATCCAAGTATTTGTTAGGGATTTTGGCCGCAAGATCCAAGTATTTGTTAGGGAAGAGGTTAATAATAGCATTTTATAAAACTCTACTATTATGAACGCGAGTAAGTTTCATCTGTGAAATTCTCATTTAGTAAAAAAATATTTTAACGTTCATAAGTTATGATCTCGTAAAATTGACAAACCCCTTAAATAGAGGGGGTTTCAAACTTTTCTTGCTCAATTAATTGATTTTTTGAATGAATTTCAATCTATTTAAAAATATTCAAAAAAAAAAAATTTTTCTTTTATTTAAAAATATTTAAAAAAAAAAAAATTCCTTTTTTTCACTCTTGGGACCGTGGGTTCAGATTTTTCAGGTGAATATTGTTCCCGGGCTCCGATCACAGTAATTTTTTGTAAAAAGTTCTTCTTTGATACCAGTATCAATATCACAAAATTTTAAGAATGAACCATATCTGGAAGTAACTTTGATTTAGATGAAGTAATCTGGAAGTAATCATATCTAGAAGTAATCTACCATCTCTGCAAGTAATCTTGAACGCCAAAACTCCTTGAACAACTCGTTTAACCACATTTTTTTTAAAAAAAAACGTCGACAGATTATTTTCAAATTTTAGATTATTGATGCAAAAAGTATTGTGTTTTCAAAAATACAAACCGTTTCTGGCGGACAATTTTTTTAAAATAAATTATTTCCGCTGCGGTTTGCGTTTTTAGGTAGACTCCAGATTTTTCTGTATTTAATCTGCTGCAAACTTATAAGGGGATTTTTTAAGACTTATAATGTATGAAAACTTTGAAATTTAGCGAACGGGTAATCAGCTAACTAGTCTACTGTAAATTACATTACATCCAAAATATAACTGTAAAATTAACATGTAACGGTTGTTTAACTTTGTTTACTTAACTTTAATTCAAATATATATTCTAAAAAGCAGTAGAATAACACCGGTTTGACTAAAATAACCTTAACTAACCACACTGTTAATGTAGTTAATACATAACTTAAATATAGAATTTAGTCTATTAAAGCGGGATTTGTGGCGAGATCGTTAGATCAGATCGTTAGAGCGTTGAAGGAAAAGTTGAAACCCGGACTGTTGAACGATACGAGTTCAAATCCCGCCACCACCTACTCAGCGCTTGAGTAGTACGCAAAAATGTTGGTCAATAACGGACGCTAATTTGGATTAGCCTTAATGACTATTTGTCGCTGTTCTTATGCTAAGCCAACAATATCTTCGGATATAAGAACATTGTATAGAAAAATATAGCATGAAAACTCAAATAAATAAAATAAAAATAAAATAGAAAATAAAGCCTAATGTTAATAAAATATTTAGTGTTATCAAGTTTAAAAGTAAACTTAAATATGCAATCCAAAAGTCGTTAAGTAACGTTCAGTAGCCTCTTCAAAGCATGTTTCAAAATTTTAGATCTTCTCCTCGTCGCCTAACTGGAAAACCAAAAGCTACATTTTTTTTCAATGGAAATATCAAAAATAAGTGATTGTAGATAATAGTTAAAAAAATTACCATATAATAAAAAAGTGATATAAAAAGAGCGCCAAGATAGAAAAGTATACAAAAGTAAAAAATAATTTTTATGAGAAACATGCAAAAAAGAGAAATGATAGAAAAGTAGAAGACTAGTTTAAAACCATTAACGTGAACGAAAATTAGATTCAAAATACCTAAAAAATATATTACAATTAAAAAAAGAAAGCAAAGTTATTAATAATAGAAGTTTTTCCCAAACAGGGGGAACTGCTAAGAGTTGGTAATTACAAATTTTGTAATATAATCACAATCGTTATACATGTGTACGTTCATGTGAAACTCATCATAAAGACGTTGAATACATTTTAAATCAGATTAGAGTGCGTTTGTTTTAGAGTTTTGTAAACGAGTTTTTGTTAACTAATCTTAAAATGTATCTAAAAAAGTATTAATTTTTATATGTTTTGAATTGGAAAGTAACATCGAGCGGAAACAAACCCGTATTTTGAAACCAGAGAGCTATTTGCGTGCGTGTTAAAACTTTGCCAGAACTGAAAAGTGTTGCTTTCAGTTGTCTAAAGCATTCTTTTGACAAGTTACTGAAATTAATCACTGCATAAAACTGTTGAAGCAATTTGCGTCAAACTTTTTTGACTAGACAATAATCATCTAACATGTCACGTGTCCATCTACGATTAAATATGAATACCTATAGTTCGATAGCAAAAAATCGAGTCAGTTTACACATTATTAATTAATAAAAGCCCCATTTACCAAGTTAACAATTAGCATATTCGATTCAATCCCATAGTTCAACGTTTCCGTTTTAAACTCATAACTATGTACCGGAAATAGCAAACTTAATTTAAAAAAAAGAATTTTGGCTTACGTAAAAGGTTATACAAGGTTATACAAGTTAAACCAATTGCAAATTCACTAACTAAAGTTTTATGACCATTTTTATTAAAAAGAGAAAAAATAATAATGACGCAGCCAAAGATTTAAATCTTCAATAAAGATTCTCTACAACATGATCAAAAAATATTTGCAAAAAGTTTATTCAATAATTAATTAAGACCAAAAGCATTGTCATAATTATTTCATTATATCCTCAATTTCATTCTGCCTTCTTTTACTCTACTAATTAAATAAATTATTCAGGTAAAGAAATAACTATGCGAATGGAGAAGAGGGCGCCGTACGACAGATTTGTCTAAAGTGTCTAATACTTTGGCATCCTTAATTCTAACTTACGGAAGGTATACGAAATTTTTTTTTTTAACTGAAGCTTTAAATGTACTCATTTTGAACGTCCAGCAATCGCCGAAATAAGTAAGTTTCACCGGAATAAAACTCGTACACAAGTTTAAAATTTGGCGTTTCAAGAAAAAAAACCCGGAATTATATAAATATTTTACACAATTGTAAACAATTTTTTTTTCAAATAGCAACTAATAACGTGTTGCAAACACCACTATGTGTTAGACACATAGTGGATTAAGATATTCTGGCATCTTTATTTTAAATCCTTATTGTGTTTAAGAAGTATAATATATGTCATATATGAAATATATTATGTCTTATTTTCTTATAACATTAAAAAAATGTGTTTTAAAATATTTTTTTTGTAGCTGTACTTATTTGTTTATATATAAATATAATATGTTCTATATTATTAAAACCAACTTCATAATAACCTACCTCTTACATTCAGTAACTTTTTTAATTATAGTGAAAATATATGTATCTTATATTATCATATTATCTTATAATCTTATATTATATTTATATTATAAAAGCATAAAAAAAAAACTAATCTCAACTAGTATCTTTGAAATCTCTCTCAAAATTCTTTCTTAAAATATAATGCTATTTTGAATTATTTTTTTAAATGTAACATTTTAATCTTTCTTAAACGGAATTAATTTTATTTGTATTCTTATCATTACTATTGTTATTAAAGTTATTATATTAATCAATATAATTATATACTCTTTATATAATTGTTACTATACCTTATATAATTATTACTATTGTTTCTATTATTATAGTTACTATTATTTTTTATATTTATAATTGTTGTTGTTGACTAATAGAACGTTCAATATGTTTATATCAAAATCAAATATAGTCCAATAAAAATATAAAATGATTCAATTTTTCAAAAATATATATAGTTATCAATTTTCATTTTATATAGTATAAAATGTTACAATCTCCTATCACAGATGGCATTTATGACAAAAAAAAGTTTACAAATAGATGGCAGCTCAAGTTTATTGCAATGATTTTATGTACAGCATTTTTATTTATACTAAAAATTGTTGTAGGTTATTTGTCGAACTCTATGGCATTAGTTGCAGATTCTTTTCACATGATAACTGATTTTGCTGCTTTAATTATCGGTTTTATTGCGCTAAGAATTGCTAATAAAGAAAACAACAATGATTTTCGTTTTTCAGAGTTTACATTTGGATGGGTTCGAGTTGAAGTTCTTGGTGGCATGATAAATACTGTTTTTTTGTTAGCTTTATGTTTTTCAATTTTCATAACATCTTTGAAAAGATTTGTTCAACCAGAAGATGTATCTAATCCTAAACCTGTCCTTGTTGTTGGAATAGTTAGTTTAGTTATAAACTTCATAGGGTTATTTTTGTTTGAAACAAGTAAAGAAGCTATTTTTAGAAAATTTTTTGCAAAGAAAAAAAGAACAAAAGATTCATTAGAAAATGTTTCATTAATGAAAAAGAATAAAACTGATGAAAAAATAAAAAATGGTAATATAAAGTTTTTAAATGTTTTGTTATAGCAAGGTTTAAGTTTATTTGTTTTTAATAAAAAGGTAAGCTGTGTTAATCAAAGAAAACAATCTTGGAGGAATATTGATGATATTTTTAGGTTTTTTATTTTTATTCCTATTAATATTTTAGAATAAGTTATTATTTTTTTAAATTGGTTTTATTTTATTAAAACCATTATTAAAAACTTGGTAATATTTGCAATAATCTATTTATATATTTTTTGTTTAAATGCATTAGCTAACACCAATTCTTTTACAAATTCTTTTATAAACGGTTACATTCTGCTATAATCTTACTTAGAATAAAGTTACAGAAATTATTTTCACAATTAGAAAGTTAATTTTTTGCTAAACAATCAACTAGTTGAAGGGTTTCCAACTTTTTCATCAATAGTTGCAAAATATTTAACTGTTAACATGCCGTATTGGTACTTTCCTTGTTTGTGCTATTGGTTTACATTATTCAGGCCACATTAGCAACTTTTATTATGGAGATTGGTTTCTTGAAAGGGGATTAAAAAATGAGTATTTTATTGTTATTTTTTAGTCAACCATTGTTGCAATATTGGTATGTTTTTATATCTTTGATATAAAAACATATCAATATTGTAGGCAACTAAACCTGGAAATCTCATTGTTGTTAAATTTGTTAAGTTGCAACTCTCTATAGTAACCGTTAGTTTGTGCTTTTAATTATCTGTTTTCTGAAAATGTTAACATTTTAGATTTCTCTCTCTTTTTTCTTGATTAATATTTTGTAACACTTTAAGTTTTCTGTTGCAAATAATTGCAAATAATGTATTTTTGATTTTAGTAAAGGTTTTGAGTTTACTAACCAAGCCAGGAAACTACTTGTTGTTTAAGACATATAAAAGCCATCTTGTTTTTAATAATGTCTGTTTTTTGCATAAACAATCTTGTGTTGTTACAAAAATTGTTCTCTATCATTTAAAAATAAAACTTGTGACTCTTATCACTAATTAATGATTATCCAAAACGTTATAATAATAAAAAAATCCAGTGTGTGACTTTTGTAAAAAATTAGTCAAAATCACTCATTGACGCAAATCACAACATCTCCCCCAGCTTAGCAAGAGCTAATACATAATTGTGACCAAAACAATTAATTGACAGTTTTGGCAACACTGCCCATACTGTTGTCAGCTTTGTTTGCCATCATCCAGAGGATTTATTTAGAAATTAGGACCTTCATTGAATTCAACATGTCAAATGTTTCAAATTCATTTATGTAGGTTTGAATAGCGTTAAAATTGTTATTAACTGTTAGATCTACTTTTTTGTCATTAACATATGTCCATTGACATTTTTTCAACCAAAAAAAAATACTTCCTTTTTCCGCAAACCTGGAATTTCCTGGAATTCAAATGCGATTTTAATGTTGGCAAAAGATTTCAAAAGGTGTGCTGTGTTTTGATGGAACACTGTTGATTAAGAATACAGACATAGATATGCTACATTTTGCTCTTGCATTTGTTCTCATTACCATCTGATGAATTCTTTCAACAATTCCATTTCATGATGGTTACTTAACAGCTCAATAGATGAGTTTTGTTTCCTGATTTAACACCATGGTTTGCGTAATCTTTGATCTAAATGGTTTGAATTTATTTTGGAGAAATTCAGAAGGGGGTGCATGTGATCACCATATTGTTTCTAATAATTGAACAACAATTGCTATACTTTTGTTGCTTAATGGTGTTCATAATGTATATTTGCTCAGGCCGCAATCAATACTGGTGAGATAAAGCAATGAATCAGCACTAACACTACCAGCAAGATTTCTTTTTTCCTACAGAATCACATAAGGATTAATCAAATAACATTCATCACATTCAGCTTATGAGTTCATCAGTAGTATTTTTAATATTTGGCATCCATGTAACATTTACATTTATGTCATAATCTTTGACCAATTTTCAAAATATTTGAAGCTTTTATCAAATTAACATTTTGCATTGCATACCACATTTTACAGGTTTATCATGAGTCAGTTTAGATTTTAACCAACTGAATACACTATGAAAATTAGTTTTAATAGAAACATCACTTGGGTTCCATTTCAATATCATATTCAGACCTTCAATACATGCATCCAATTCACCTACATTGATAAGCATTGCACCAGACTTGGTTGGACCATATGTTGCATTTTCTTTGTCACCTTTGTCACCTTGTATTATCACAACTCTTTTTCCAGAAAACTTGCATCCATATTGCAAGAGATTTCAGTTTGACATTCCATAGACTTTTTGTTGGATAGCATTTTAAGACTTTATCTACAACTTCTTGCATCATTTCAATGACATTTCATTCATAATAGGTTCATCCTATGCTACTTTATTTGTACATCTTTTTAAATAGCTGCATGCAAGTCTTAACATTCCAACAACTGGTAGATTAGCAACCAGATTACCGCAATGAAAATATATCTCTCATGGTAAGCAGAGTTTTAATAATAAGAATCTAGCATCCTCTCTTCCAAAACATTTCCTTTGTTAATGGGTTCACTGTGACTTTCAATCCTAATAAAACAATTTGGTTTTTGCCAAAATATTCTAGTGTTTTTGTGTGAAGGCTATATTTTTTCTTCTATTTTCATTGGTTATTAGAGTGTCAGCAATATACCCTCTTGTTAATTTAGCAGGTGCAAAATTTTGTTGAAGCACATATTGCAGTATTAAGTTCATCATCACTGGTGCTAAATTCAAACCAAAGCCTAGACATGTAAGTACATATCAATAATTTTTATAAATGATAGTTGGCTGAGGCCAATGTCTTTTATGCACACAAATTTATAGGTATACTCATATGAGGTCCATAATTCATCGCTTTTACTCATGAGTATTAATAGTTTAATCATTAATTTTATTCATCTCTATATATATCATAAATCTCCAATTTCTCAATGCATCGTTTATAAATATCTCCATCGCTTGTGGAAGCTTTTAAATGCATGTTAGGCTTGGAATAATCAAGCACAGGTTTTATCTTCTTTTTATTATCTTGAATAATGCACATCACTGGTAGTAGACCTTTAGCTTTTCCAAAATTTCATAGTCATATTTGATAAGTGAGCCTTCTTTGATCCATTCATTTATTTTCTAGTTGAAAGCCTCACAATGTTGATCAGGATGTTATGCTGACTTGTTCTCTTTTCCATGTTAGGTTTGTTTTTCTATTTCCAACATACAATACATCTTTCACCATCAGAACAAGCTTTGCTTGTTCAATTTCAATTGTTGCAATACAGGATGTTGATGACAACTTAATCAAGGAATTACAGAATTTCAATTTTCTAGTGTAAATTTTTAGTTCATCCCATGTCTTTATTAAATCCATACCCATAATCATATCATATTTGTTCATTATTTCATCCACACTTAAAACCACCAAGCAACAATTTGTTGGGTGGTGTATTTTAACACTAACTTCTTCATACCAAATTATTGTGCCGATTGTTGCAACATCTACTGCATGAATCACTTTATAGTCAGACGGCAGTAACTTCTTGGTAATAATTGATTGCGAGCAACCAGTATTTACAAGCGCTTTTGCTTTTCTCATCTTTATTACTATATTGATAGTAGGTAGTATAGTTTTGGGGCAAGTTCTTGTATAAATACCTAATGCAAACTACTCTTATTTAATTTATATTTCCCAGTTTTGTTGGGGTTTATAGCAGTTTTTTGCTTTTTTTTCATTGTATTTAACTTGTCATTTTATTTGCAGTTATCCAGAAACTTCTTCCTTAGCATGCTGCATCTGCATCTTTGCTACAACTAAACATGCTGCATCTTTTTTTTGTGCAACCACAGATGCAGTCTTAACACAGTTGTTGAACCTAAGCGCATCTTCTCTTCAAAGAATGAAACACAGAATAGCACTATCATTAATTCTAATAATGAATTGTTCACAAAGTCAATCATCTCTCTCTGAATCAAGAACTTGCAATCATCAGCTGCTCAAATCTCTTAATTAGCAACCAAATAAATAGATTCTTAACTGCCACGATAAGTTTTCCAAACTCATATTGTGAAATTAATGATGGTTTAATTATTTCTAGTATTTCCAATTTTGTCGCAAATTCATTGTACAAGATGTCCTCTGGAACTTTTGGTGCTGTTAATTCTTCCATAGTTTTGTAAGTTATATTGTTTATTATGAAGAAAGAGGTCATCTGTCAAATAAATTGGTTTTGCTGTTGATCTTCATACTGTGGAGATAATAGACACACCCAATTAGATTGTTGTTCAGCACATTTAAAAGCCATCTTGTTTTTAATGTTTGCTTTTTGCTTATAAACAGTATTGTCATGTTACAAAAATTGTTCACTATATATATATCATTTAAAAATACAACTTGTGAATCTTGTTACCAATTAATGATCGTTATACAAAAACGTTTTAATAATAAAAAATACAACATTTGACTTTTATCAATAGTTAGCAAAGCTAATTAATGACGCAAATCGAAATCACAATACTACTTTCCCAAATAGTTTGTTTCTAGATTTCATACCTGAAAACTAGACATCAGTGTGTTTTCAAATGTACAGCCTTGTAGTCTCCACAAGTAGTTATTTCAGTATGATATTATCAGTAATAATTTATGTGCGACTACATCTGAATTGATATTTGTATATATATATATATATATATATATATATATATATATATATATATATATATATATATATATATATATATATATATATATATATATATATCAAGCATTCTCATAAGATGCCTGCAGATGATAAAATAAATTAAAAATGAACCAGAAAATTTACATGCTTTTATTTTAATTTATTTAATCCAAGATTATATGCTTTGAAACTTAATTGTTTAAAAATTTGAAATTTTAATGTTTTCTAATGTCTACCTAGCAAATAAAACATTAAAAAAAAAAAACAATTTATTCACCTAACCTAAAATGACACAATCTATTAACCTAAGC